TCAGCAAAATTGTCAGTAACCAGAACCCAGACAACCAAGAGAAAAAACAAAAGGTAACTTGAACCTTTTAAGCCTTTTTTAAAATTCCTTTTTGCATTTCTGAGTTGTCATTGAGAGTAGATCTTTTGATGAACATTAGGAAGAAGTATTCTATTGATATTTAGCATTCCTTCTTTGAACATAACTGCTTGTGGTCAGAAGTATGAGGTTAAAAATGGAATTAAGGGGACAGGCAGCTGGACTCGTTTTTGTGTCTTTTCTCTTCAGTGGGGTGGGTCGCCTGCTCTTTCCCAGAACGTGGCTCATCCTGGAGGAGTATGATCCTCACTGTCTGAGTCATTGTCTCGTACGCAGAGACTTTGACTTGGCCGTCCTGATTCTAGTCCCCTCTAATCCACAATGCTCTTTAATAAGAACCCTTCAAGGATACATCGAAAATCATCTTTACTGAGAAAGCTTTTCTTTCTGTCATCAGAATTAATTCTTCATTCCTGTTTCCCCATCTCTGTTTTAGTACAATTAGTTGGCACAATTTAGTTTCCGATGTAGTGTAAAATACGGATTATCTTTTATTCTTTTTCTTCCTTAAGTATAACTAACTATACCATCAAAAAGTCTTCTTTACTGATGAATTTATTATGTACACTCTATCATATTTCAGTGCTACTGAGGGAAATTTGAGTTTTACTCTCTTGTTCCATTTTATTAATTTGATTCTCCTAGTATAAATATTGTAAGGTAATAATTGTTAAAAATTCATCTTGAATCATTTTCTGGTAGAGCAAGTTCCTTACATATTTCAGTTTCTTAATAAAAACAATTATCCAAAAATGACTGAAGCAACATGTCAACAGAGAACTGCCAGATGTGCAGGCTGGGTTTAGAAGAGGTTGTGGTACTAGGGATATTATAGCCAATGTTAGATGGATCTTGGCAGAAAGCAGAGAGTACCAGAGGAATGTCTATCTGTGCTTCATTGACTATGCAAAGGCTGTGTGGATCACAACAAGCTGTGGCAGACACTGAGAAGAATGGGAATCCCAGAACATTTGATTGT